TGGTTCCTTCCCTTTGATGATAAGCGAGAGTCAACCTCGGTTATTGTGTTTTGTTTGGAGGAGAAACCTGGTCACATGGAGAAGTAAGAAGCAGGTTGTTGTTGCAAGGTCCAAGTGCAAGAAGCCTGAGTATAGAGGCTATGGCAGCAGGGAATCTATGAACTTCTATGGTTGTCGCAGATTAATGTAAAGAGTTAAAGTTGTTTGAAAACAACAAATATTCTTATTTTGTGATAGTAAAGCAGCCGTCAGTATTATACAATCCAGTCCAGCCATGATCGAACTAAGGCACATAGAGATTTGATGCGTCAACTTTAATAAAAGAGAGATAGTTGAAGGTGGTTATATAGCGTCTCCTATATATAGCTTCAAAAAGAGCAGACTAGCTGATGTTTTCCCCAACAAAGGGTTTGCATAGCAGTTGTTTTCAATCCTTTAGTTTGCAAGTTGGGGCATGAGTAATATCTATTGCCCAAAACTTGAGGGGGGTAGTGTTGAAATTCTTTGGTGATTAAAGTAAATATTGTGTTTTTCTAGTTTAGGTTTATTCCTTAATTAGTGTAGAAGATTATGTTTCCTAAGTTTAGGGGATATTCCTATTTAGATTACTACTTCCTATATTTTGGGTACAGATTTTTGTATATATATAAGTGGGAGAGAGGTTGAAAATATGATTAACAAATTGAAATTGTGTTTTCTAGTTTAGGTTTATTCCTAATTAGTGTAAAGATTATGTTTCCTAGTTTAGGGATATTCCTATTTAGATTACTTCCTATATTGGGACAATTTTTGTATATATATAGTGGAGTAGAGGTTGAAAATATGATTACAAATTGAAAGAAATAAAACATATTCTTTCCTTTAATTTCTACAGTTTAACTTCAGTGACCATGAACATAAATCACCCAAATAATTGAGTAACAAGTACTCTTAATCAGAAACAACTTGTTAAAGCAGCAATCATCCATGATCATACATTCAATTATGGTTCTGAGGAATTAACATATATTTTTGCTTGAATCATTAGCTTAGTCAGACTAAACCCTTAGTCCCAGCTAGGATTGTAAATGGAAGTCTTAGCTACTTTAGTTAAACACAATTGTTGTGGGGTGAGCTGAGCTCCATTTTTTTCAAGCATTAAGGCCTAAACTTGGCTCAAAGCTCATCCGAGCTTCCGACTAAATCGAAAGCGCCCAAACTATTCGAGTAGTATTTTTCTAAATTTATTCATATATTCTTTTTTTTCATTTAACCCTAGGCTTTAACTTACTGTCTAACATGTATTACTATAACATGGAACAACTTGGCATTCTGTTAGAGATGCAATATGTGAGACGTGGGCCACAGCAGAAAGAAGTTGACTGCAATATGGAGGGAAGCAAGTGAAAGTTGGTAACCATCAGATTAGCTGGGAGACAGATTTAATTGTAGAAGATTATTAGTTCAAATTTCTATAGGAGGTTTTAAAAGCTTCCTCAAATGAGCTTTAGTTCAAGACAAAATAATTTCCTTATGCAAAGGCAGAAACAACGATAAAGCAAACACCATCTGTCCCGAGGAAGATCTTCTTGATCAATGACCTGTGACACGATCCTATGCAAGGGCCCTTAACAACTTGGTATCAAAGCCAAGTGTCACAGGGGAATTCAAATTCACATAACAAGGTGAAGCTTTTATGCCAGAGACAAATAATTGCGTCCAGAAAATGCAAGAATCTCATACTCGAGTTGAGTCCCAAATTGAGGAATTATCTCGGCAAGTCAGAGGACTTTTCAAACATCAGGAAAGCAAACCAATTCAGGAAGGGGTGAAGGAACTGGAAGTAGCAACCATGTTAACACCCATCGCAAAACCAAAGAGAGGTCAAGTGGCCATTAAAGCACAGTCATAGTGCCCACATATAGCAAACTAGCTTTTTCTTCATTTGATGGTTCCGAAAACCCTTTGGGGGGCCTCAACAGGTGCAAACAATTTTTTGGCAACCAAGGAATGATGGAGGCAGATGAGGTGGACTTGCGGCATTCCATATGATAGGAGAAGCAAATTGTGGTTTTACAAATTTGAGCATGAAACAACAGGTTTAACATGGGACATTTTACAACCTATTGCAACCACCTATGCTTCGGCCCACCTCTCCAAAGCAATTAATTGGAGAAACTGGTTAATTTGAAACAAACGGGTACCATGGAGGACTACCAATCTAACCTAATATCAACATTTAATATTTTACTTAAAAATCTACAGTTATTTTCCATAGCAGACCCTACATAACCAATTCTAATGTTCACCTCTAACCATACCATAATGAAAGACTTGTCTGAAATATTTAAAAGAGACACTCACCTAACTCAAGGATTTGATTAAGCAAAGTTCAAGAATTTTTGTGTGATTTTATACGTGTGTACATACTGGAGCCAATTTAAGTTTCATTTAGGTAAGCTGAAGCTCAACTTCACCTCAAAAATTAGAAACTGAATTCAATTCAGTCTGAACTCATATGAACTCAACCTGAAAATTTCAACACAGACCAACCCAACTTTTAGGGCTAGTTCCAAGTAGCCAACATCAATTGTTGGCCCTTTTCAGCCATTCTACTGAATGCAAATGAACTTTTCACTAGCACATCTTGAAGCCTGCGTCTTTTTATATGAAAGAAAATTTAATAAGAAAGGAAGAAATTAATGTACATCATGAAAGACAAGGAATCCTATATGATATATATAACTTCAAAAATAATTATAAATAAGAATATAGAACACAAGCTAAAATAGTAATGCCCTCAATAAAGCTGGATAACATTCAAACAAACCCTTTAAAAGCCTCGAAAATATAAGAGCACATAAAAGTCAAAAAAGTACCTTGTCCCACAACAAACTAATGAGCATGCTTTGATTGTTCAAGATATGTGCATTTGTCTCCATTCAAAAGCAGCAAAATTAAAAAATAAAAATAAAAAAGGGAAAATCCCGAACAATTTTTGCATTTTACCAGGTGGAGGGTTTCAAACAAGCAGGAGCCAGTGATCTTCCAGATTATTATCCACTAATGCCCCTATCCCACTCAATCCTTTTGCCCACTCTGGCCACTCTCTTGAATAATTTATTGAGCAGTAGGCCTCCAATAAAGTGTGCAAACTTACCTTTTCACTAAACCAAACAGCAATTAGGGACCTTATGTCAATCAAATCTAGCTAGCCCTTAGCCCTTGTTTACTTTTTCTCTACCCATAGAGAGATGCAGTGCATCACTTAAGGGATGCCCCTATAGTAGTCTCTTACAACTCATTTGATATAAATGAATTCCATAAAAATTTTTGTGGAATTCATTTACAAATCCACATTTCCATGTTTGGTGTAAAAAATTCATTTATATTTTTCATTCTATGGTATTAGTTATGCTTGAACTAAATCACACTAAAATTAAAAATTTGCAAATGAACTCTAAACTTACCAAAGGCACAAGCAATTAAAGCTAATCAATTCAAAGTATAAGGTATTAAAGCTAAATATTTTAAATGACTTACATAGTTAATCAATATATGAATGTTCATTTACAAATGAAATAGAATTCTATGACACTATTTTAAGCATTCATGTCATAGAATGCAACAATAGTTTCTAACAGCCATCAGCCCATAAGAACCTCCTATTTTATTCTCATTTAGGACCAATTGCTTTAAGTTGCTTGACATTAGGCTAGGCAAGGTACAAGCTTAAGGAAGTATTTGGTTTGGCTATTTACTTTTAACTTTTAACTTAAAATCTACTGTTTAAATTATATAATTTAAAAATAAGTAGTTAAGTATTGATAAAACTACTATTTAAAAGTTATTTTTGAGTAGTTTAAATGTTGGGTTAACAAGTAATTGAGGTAACTTAATTTATCAAAGTGACCCAAAAAGGGTATATTAATTAAATGTGAAGTCTACAACTTTGTTAAAAACAAACGTAGTGTTGACATTTTTATAAAATCATTAGGATAAAAAATATTTTACTTGGTGAAAGAGTAGTTTTAAAATAAGAATATAATTAAAAATAAACAAGTAGACAATTAAAAATAAAAGGTAAATTACATGCGACTTTTGACTTATTTTTCTAACTTACAAGCCAAACCAAACACTATTGACTGACTTATAAGCCAAATCGTACACTCTCCAAATCGTTAAATCATTACTCATTACTTTAAGCCAAAAATACTTACCTCAAAATTAATAAGGTAGAATTGGATCACATCGATAGAGAATCCACTGCAAGTAAGCTTTTGATCTAAAACAACTAAACTTCCCATCATCTCATATTTTATTATTTTATTATGTTAATAGGTTATGATATAATAGTTTATGAGCCATATCTCAAAATAAAAGTTATTGGATGAGTAATTAAATCCAGAAACTGATTCTGTTAAGCTTCAAATTATTTAATTCAGAGTATAATGTTTTAAATGAGAGGAGATACACTGTAATCAAGCTCATACTTCAAAGCTTTTTTTATGGGAATTGAACCAATTCTTTTAAAAAAATTGTATCCTAAAACCCCCCATGCCACCCCCAATATCCTGCAATCCACAAGAAGTTTCTCAATACCCTATAGTTGTAATCAGATATTCTAGCAAGATGCATTCAAGAATTTTAGCCGCTCTAACCTTCCAAACCTTACACCTGCTTAATACAACCTACAAAATCTAAATGATGCTTCTATGATTCCATATTAAATACAAAACCTTCCCTAAACTAGCTAACCAAATAGCATCAATAGGCAAATTTGAAGAGTGTTTTACATCAATACATCATGGTAATTGCCTACAAAAATACGATACATCTATCTTAGATAGAACAAATAAAAATGGAAGACACTGTTATCAAATATAAAAATTCTATACTGTACAATTTTAGACAAAGCAAATAAAACTGGAAGATAGATAGATGGCAATAAAAAGGCATACCCATCCACATGGCAAGCAAATAAAACTGGAAGATAGATAGATGGCAATAAAAAGGCATACCCATCCAGATGGCAACTTTCGAATATTAACAGGTTGAGCTAAACCAGAATCTAAACCCTGCAATTCAAAATTACAAGCGTTTTCAGAGAAGAAAAATTATAACTTCAAAATTGAGCTAGAAGTGCAAGTTTGAAATTTCCAAAGGTCAAAACAATTCAGAAAACTAAATTATGCAGATGTTAACACCTAAAATTCAAACACTGTTCCTAGCTCTTTCTTTTAGAGGCTGAGTAACAAATGTACAGAAAAGAAATGGGGGAGGAGCGGAAATATAAAGAAAATAGGGGCTTAAAGCAAATAAACTTGCATTATTATCTTCCAATGGGTGGTCTTTTCCCATGTCATCTTTAAGAATACCCCTTACTCTCAACTTCTGCTTAAGGTACTCAGGAAGTTCCTTAGTAGCAGGCTTCTTCTCTGACCCTCGGTCAAGTTCAGACCTTGAAGAGCTATAATATGCACCTCCACCTGGGACACCATACCCATTACCAATGTCTACATGACCTGCCAGAAAAGCATGGGATTAGGCAATCAGCAGTTAGCACACACCTTCACACAAAATAGTTGGGAGTTAATTGCATGAATTCATGGCCAAGTTGCTGAACTGTCTCCTGCACCATTTTGCAAAGTCAGCAACATCACAATATGGCTATTGCATAGGAGTTGATTTGAGAGGTAAAAGCGAATTGATTTAAACAGGTTACATTGCAAGGGATTTTTAATGAGAGAAGAGTGGAAGGTTAAAGAGGGTGAAGGAAGGGTATGCAATGGAATATAAATGAAAGTTAATTAACCTTATTTTGTTTGGGAGCTGTAGAGGGAATTGGAGGTCAATGGATCTTAAACTGATTAATATCTTTATGTTCCACGCTCTAACCCCCAATTATGAAGGTTACAAAAAATTTGAGGTTAACGGATGTAAACATTTTAACCTCCCTGAACTCTCATTGTAAAAAAAAAAAAAAAAAAAAAAGGTTACAAAAATTTGAGGTTAACGGAATGTAAACATTTTAACCTCCCTGAACTCTATTTTGTTAAAAAAAAAAAAAAAAAAAAAAAAAAAAAAAAAAAAAAAAAAATGGCAAACGAGGTTAAGGGGTTAAATCTGTTCACATTCCATTTATAGTCTACCTATGTTTAAGGCTCTACAGCTTGCAACCTACACACACCCAACAACTATGGTAATTGGTACTGCACAGGTTTTTGCTCCTTTGCCATATGATTCTCTTTCTAAATTTTATAAGATCCGAAAATCTTTGGATAATCAGGGATGCTCACAAGTTCATATAATTCGAAAGGGAGATGGCAATATATTATTAATAAGAAAGAAGGCAATACATTATCAACCTTCATCAGCAATGACAGGTTTCCCGCGCTTTAAAGCTATTTCTGCACGATGTTCAGTGGTCATCTTCAGTATATGCTCCTGTAAAAACATCCGTATTGATAAATGAAATTCGAATAAAAATGTTATACTGATAAAAGCCACCACAAACAAGAAACATTATATCACGTACCTTTAAAGCACTGGGATTGAGTTTTTCAGAAAAAATATCGGTATCATCTTTCGGAGGTGCACCTGCTCCTACTGCCTCTCTAAAAAATACGCATACATAAGTCATCTAAAGCAGTTTCTGAATCAATAACCTTAAAAAATCACTAACCTTTGACCTTGAATGACTCTCTGGGTTTCAATTTCCTGTCAACAAAAGACCCACAAATTATTGTAAAAAGAAAAAAGCCGCGAAGATTTTACAGTGAGAAGCAAGCAAAGAGAGGCATACTTGTTCCCGCATTACGGCATTCTGGGCTGCGGATTCAATATCACTTGCAGTTGCAGTGCTGTTGTGAACTGATGAATTATAATAAAGTGGAGGCGTCGAGTTGTCCCCCTTCTGAAACAATTCCTCGCCCATCTGTTATGATTGTTTCCCAATTAGGGTTCTATAAATTGGACACGAAAACAACTCTTTTGACCACTGCCTTCTTGAGGCCAAGATTAGTGAAGTAGAGTTTCTCCGGGAGCTACAGTTTCAGTAATGCTTAGGGAAAAGATTAACAGTCCGCGTCATTCATCAACCAATTTGGATTAAAGCTTGGAAATTGCCAATTGATTTCGATTTGGGATTTATCTTCTTAGACGCCAGACACTTCTGTTGCAGCTTATCAACGAATTCAAGATGTGAAATATTTAGAAATGAATTCACTTTGCAAACAAATTTTTGTATGCTCCGTATATACTTGAGATGAAACATTTTCCGAATAATATATACATATATAGATATAATCCTAAATAGGCATGGCCACCGGTTCGGTTCTAACCAAAATCGAACTGTATTGTAGACGAACTAAAATCGGATCGAAACTGACAGTTCAAAATTTTGAATCGGAACCGGTGGTTTAAGAGCCGGTTAAGGTTCACATGAATGTTAAAAAATGAACCTGAATCGGTCCGAAACCGGCGGTTTCGGTCCGGTTCGAACCGGATTCACAAATAAAATTATTTGTTGCTTAAAATTTTTAACAAAAAAATTTATATAGTTGATTTGATTTTTGATTTATGGTGAAAAGAAAAAAACAATGATACATCATTTCTAAAAGTAGCGAAAAAACAACATCATTAAATTCATTTGACTTAATTGGTAGAAAAAAAGGTTTTAAACTGGCCGTTTGAACTATGTCATTTGTAAAAAGAAAAAAATTATGTGTAAAAAAAAATTAGGTTCAAAAGGCTAGTTTGAGATGGATTTAATTTTTATTTTGGTAAATAAATTTTATTATATTTAATCATTTATTATTATTTATTGTATTTACTAAATTATCCAAAATATAGCTGTATTCTGTTATAAGGGACAATTTGGAAAACTAATAAATGAGGAAACATTTGATAAATTGATGAGTTGATGATTTTTATTTCACAATCATTATTCCTAAACTCATGCTTTATTCTAACCAAAATTTCTCTCAAATTCCATAGTTTCATTATTTTTTCTTATTGTTTTATTTTCCTTAATATTGGAATTATCTATTGTTTATTTTATATTTTCTACATCCATTCAAATTCTTTCTCTAACTCAAAATTTTTACCATCATAAATTTATTCATTTGATTTTTAAATAATTTTTTTAGTATTTGAAAATAATATATTTCCAACATTCCATTAATTTTAATTTCCATTTATAATTTTTATATTTTAGTAAATAGCAAAAATTTGTAATTTAATGTAATAATAGTTCTAAGTTAGTTAATAGAAGTGTTTCTTTTTTAAAATTATAAAATTCATTTAGTTAAAAAATAAACATTTTAAAATTACTTATTTATCATGAATTCGGGAATCAAAAATTTATATTTTTTATTTAAAAATTTTGCGTAATACCAGGAAACCAATCGGAACCGTGTAAATATTGATCCGTCGTTTCGCCCAGAACCTGCTGACCGTACCGGACCGGAGGTTCAAGGATCGGTTTCAAGGATCGGTTCCGGTTCAAAATTTTAAACATCTCGAACCGGCGGTTCAGTGAACCGAAACCGGCGGTTCACTGAACCGGCCATGCCTAATCCTAAACCAAAAAAATTTTTTATAAATGCTGATTTGGCTCTGATTTTGAAATTCTTCTTTTTCTTTTAATTCGTTTTTAACAAAAAAAATTATAATCATTTATCAATTAAAAATAATATAATTTACATTATTATGTTAATAATTTATTTTTAAAAAAATCAAATTATAAATCTCTTTAATTAATCTAATCCTATCTTCTAAAAATCTCATCTAAAAATCTAAAATTTTTTTCTATTTTTTAGAAATTTGTAAGTTGTAACTAACTATTTGTATAGCTATATTGTTCTCTATCTTTCAACCCTTTAAACCAATCAATTTGATTAACAACTGTTTTTTATTTTTTAGTTTCTTTATTTATCTTTTTATCTTGATATATTTATATTTCTTTATATTCAATTAAATTTTGCTATTTTTATTTTTCAAATTATGAACTACAGAACAATTTTCTCAATTTTCTCTTCGTCAAAGGTAACATTAGCTCTTTTATATACCTTTTTTTTAATTTTATTTGGACTATAAAAATTTATTTACTAATTTCTTTTCCTTCTCTTCCATTTTCTATTATAATTCTCTCTTTCTAATTCTCTCTTTCTATTTTTATTGGTTCACTTATTTTTTTATTTAATTTTTTATTGATATCATGTGAAATGAAGAAGGTTGGAAATAACACGAAACTTAGATCTAATTAGATATCGTCTTTGTATTGCTCTTTTATATATTTTTTCCGTATTTTTATTGTTCATTTTTTTTTAAAATTTTATTTGGACTATAAAGACATTCATCCTCTTAAATCAATTTTTTATTATTTTCAATTATTATTTTTATTTCTTCTGCTGACCTATCACAATTACTCTTAACACTTTTTGTTTATTAATTGGTTTTTACAAGATTTTTATTAGGATCGAGTTATTAGGATACAAAAAAGCGATTATTTTCCATTTGTAGCTTTTACTATGACAGTCTCAACATGACATTCGGATTTTTCAACTATTCCAATTGCAATTTGAGTAAAAATGCTTCAAAAATATGGCAACGTTATGTGCTAAGGGATAGACATATGAACAATAGAATAAAAATTAATTTTAAGTTTAGATTTAGTTTAACTAATTTTTTTATCCTCCTTGATTTAATAATAGGTAATTTTGTTTATGTGTTATAGTTAATTTTGTTTATGCGTTATTTTTATTTGTCAGTAACTTTATCATTCGGGATTCTATATTTTATTATTTATGTTTTTAATATTTTTAATTTAACATAGAATTATTCACGTTAAATTATTTAAATTTTTTTCTCATCTATTTATTATTTTGTTGTATATTATCCATGTTGAATTATTCAAATTCTAGAACTTTATATAAAGATATAAAGATAGATTATCGACTATTTTATTTTATTTATATTACAAAAAAACTTTTTGCTTCAAGATTATATATATAGATTATCTATGATAAAAAAAAATAGTGTTTGAATTATAAACTCTAACTAAAACTTTACTATACTAATTGAAATTTATAATTATTTTAAATAAATTAACGGCATTATAATTTCTATATAACACGAAAATTTAATAAAGCAATCCGGAAAAGATGAATCTTCTAATGTATACTAAATATGATTCATATATTAGAAATATATATTGTTTATAAATTATAAATTATAACCCGCACTTTTGAACAGCCCTTCATCTAGCTTTACAATTAAAATTTTCTCTGTTTCTTGAAAATAATAGTTTTTTCCAGCAATCCCTTGCACTACTCTTAATTTATTTTTGGAATTGGATTTGCCCCTTTAACTTGGACTACATATACAAAAAAAAAAAAAAAAAAAAAAAAAAAAAAAAAAAAAAAAAAAAAAAAATCATATTTCACCTCTTTTTTTTTTTTGCAATTTAATCACAAATTCATATCAATATTAATAATTTACCCAAAATCAGAACAAGTGTACTTTAAAATATATGAAAGTGCGTGAGATAAATGTTTTAGCTGCACTTTTCCTTCTTTTTTTAAAAAAAATGTCCCTTGCAAAACCAACCCAACCCATCTGCAGTAATTACTGTAAGTCAACAACATAATCACTACCTCATTTTCTTCAACCACCGAAAACCTCAACTTTGCAACAGGAAAAGCAGTAGCAGGTCAAGGGTGAGAGTGGCATAAAGCTATGAATTTGATTTAGACAAAAAAAAAAAAAAAAAAAAAAAAAAAAAAAAAAAAAAAAAAAGAGTGGCGATGAAGAAAAAATTAAAGAACATGAAACAGAATTGTAATAAAAATAAAGTATGATGCTGAAAATGGAAATACACCAAATAGAGAAAAAAAAGAAGTAAAAGAAATATATGAGAGAGTTCTTGTAATTATTGTTGTTGACAGTGTAAAGAATTTAGTATGATTTCTTGAACAGTTTTTGGGAGAGAAGAGAGGAGAAGTTAACGAAGAGATAAAAAGAAAGAGCAAAACTGGGACGAAGTAGGCGTAGAAAATGGGTTATTTATATTTGTTGCTTGATTACAGGATTGATTTCTGCTCTTTGTAACTTGATTTTTAGGATGATTTATTTTCTGAATCTTGGATCAATTTACAATGTATTTAGGCTCAAGACAAAAACTAGCTAAATCAAATAAGCTTTTCTTAAATTACAAAAATAACGAAAGTGCATTTTCTTATAGACTTTACTAGATATAGAGAGAATTCAAATGTGATTAGATCAGATTTTGACAATTATGGAGAGTAAAAGGAAGTGAAGTTATTAATCCATTTAATTCTTACGGGTTCAGCTGCAATATGCCGAAGAATGGCTTTAGCAGCGGCAACAGTGGAAAAAACATTCTTTGATGGTATAGCAATTAAATTTTCTTTCACTTTTAAATTTTAAATTTTAAATTTATAATTTTTTTAATCTGTTGATTGCGTGAAGCTCACTTTTAAATTGGTGACTAAATTGGAAAAAAAAAGGTGAAAATTGAGTTTTTTGTATATCCAACCTAAGTTGAGGGGCCAAATTGAACCTTCTTCCTTTATTTTTTATCTATAATTTTAATATATAATATTATATTATAAATGGTTTATATAAAAAATTGATTTTTTTTTTGTAAACCAACGGATATCCGGACCCTATTATCGGGGACTGCCTAATCCAGCTCGGGGCTTAGTCACAGTAAAGACTCTTCGCTAGCTTAATCACAGTTAAAACTCTTCGCCCCTCCCTGCCGTTAGAAAATAATAAAAATACAGACTGTGAATAGAAAATTGCCTTAATAGTGTGTTCACTATGATTAACAAAATTAAAGCCCCATTGTTTTGTGTTCTGGGTTTATTTGCAGTATTCCTCTAGGATTTTACAAAGCAATATTGAACAGGAAAAAAAAATGAATTAGTTGTATGAGTCGAAGAATAAGACTTTTATAACGATAAGGGAATTTAAATAGCCGCAAACTGATTTCAACGAGCACAAGCAGCTTTCTTTTATTCAAAAATTAGTAACTGTTAACACAACAGTTACTTGTATTAATCAAATAATTAATTTTGAATTTTAAATAAAAATAAAATAACATTTCGAAATTAAATAATAATAATAATAATTAAGTTAAAAAATTTATATTTGTAACTAAGTCATTTTAGGCCCAAGCCCCAAGTGCCCCAAGAGCCCAATCTTTTGACTATAAAATATTTTATAGTCAAATTTCGGTTTTCCTCCATATTTTTCCACCATCTATTTTCATACTAAAGTGTTTATTAACACTAGTAACCTTTTTTATCTTTTCCATGTGGGATAGCTCGACTCATATGATCTACTAACTACACTAACAATCCCTCACTTAGTGATTATGTGCTTGATTTTAAGACTTAGGCATATAACAAATATCTTTCAATTTAAACTTGTATAAATATTTCAAATCTTGTTCAATTTCATGGTTAGACATATAACCTATTATTGGTATTTGAAACCATTTATTAATTGTGATATTGAGATTGTGAATTGTGAAATTTATTTAGCCTTTAAGCCGATTTGATTGTACCAAGTCATTCGTTTAGTCAATATGACAGAATCCCAACTTGATGAGGGTTATACCATCAGGCTATGTGCACATAGAAATTTGTGATTAAAGGGAGAAGTTACTGCCCTAAAGTGTGTGATGTGTACTGCCCTAAAGTGTGTGATGTGTGATAGCACTAAAATGTACATAGTGATATGTTCTCTTTAGTGCTATCTATGTGATTATCTCTCATATTATTGATATTGCCTTTGTGATATTTGATCCGATTACCATGAATCCTTTTATATGGACTTTATTTTTGTTAATGAGCTATAATGGTACTACCATCTTGTGTTACTATAAATGTTAAACCCTGAGAACCATCTTGTGTTACTATAAATGTTAAACCCTGAGATACTTTTCAATGTACATGTTACCGAAAGGACACTATAATCTCACTAAGTTGACGACTCACTCAAGCGTCTGTGTTTTCAGGTAGAGGTGATCTAGGTCTGTCAGCTTCTCGATTTCCTTCTTCCAGTAAGAAGCTTGTGAATAATGTAAATAGTTGTTAGATAATATAAGTTATTGATAAGTTATATGAACTCTAATTGCTCCATAGTACCTTTGTGAATGATATTAGTATGGTATGTATGTAAGCTATAATGTAAACAGTATTATGATAGTGTGATATGTGATTATACATAATGTATGAAAGATTGTATTCAATGATCCCGAGAATTAAATGAAAGTAAATAATTTGACTATAGCCCACCTAAGTAATTAATCAAGATAAGTAATGTGTTGAATTGGATTAGTTTAGTTGTGGGTTCTATTAGGTGCTCGGTGGCCTTAAGCCTACTTGGATCCTAGGATTGTCGCACCATCAATTTTTGGGTGTGACATATCAATTCGCGAAGAGGAGGAAACGAGTGGCATTGTTGTGGATGAAGGAAACTTGACTTAGCCCCTAACGAGCTTTAGGCTATGCTTGGTAGGTCGGTTCTTAATCGAAAAAGTGACTAATTTTCAAACCATGAAGTAAACCATGGCATCCCTGTGGAGACTAGGTCGCGGAGTGAGTATCAGAGAGCTTGATTGAACTCTGTTTCTCTTTCAATTCTTTCATGAAAAAGACTTGGCTCGAGTAATTAATATGAGCCCGTGGACCTTTGACCAAAAATTACTTTTATTTGAGAAGCTTGACAAAGATGAACAACCACATAATGTTCCTTTGTTTCGCACTCTCCTCTGGGTCTAGGTTCATGATGGTTTTATCACTGAAAAGGTTGTTGAGGCTATTGGCAATTATGGAGGGCAGTTTGTGGAAGCTGATCCGAAGAACTTTTCGAGTATCTAGCGAGGTTTTATGCGCATTTGGGTATGGTTTGATACTAGAATCTTATTGAAGTGTCGTAGTGCCTAAAGAAGACAGGATGGGATTGGGTGTTGCTGAGTTTCTGTCACGCCCGACTCCAACCACCAGAGGAATTGTCCACTTTGGATCAACCGAATCCATCCCATACTAGATTGGCAGGATTCGCACAGTTTTGTACCGCAGGTGAAATAGGAAACTTCCCAAGTGGTCACCCATCTTATTGATTTTCGTTAAGCGAGTACGCTTAACCTTGGAGTTCTTCCAACTCTCCAAGCCATTTCACCAAAAGGCGCCTCTGTTGATTAGTTTTCTCATTTTCGATATATGATTAAGCCATTTCACCAAAAGGCGCCTCTGTTGATTAGTTTTCTCATTTTCGATATATGATTCGATTCATTCCTTTGTCCCATAGTCGGGATATCACAGGCCCACCAGCTTTAGCGTGGTTCGTCCTTGAACCGTACATCTACTAGAGGGGGTCCGGCTTTGATACCAACTGTTATGCCGGACTCCAACCACTAGATGAATTGTCCGCTTTAGATCAAGCTGAATCCATCCCATTTTGGATTGGCAGGATCCGCACGGTTTTGTCCCGCAGGTGAAATGAGGAACTTCCTAAGTGACCACCTATCTTAGGGTTTCCGTTAAGCGAACAAGTTTAACCTTGGAGTTCTTCCAACTCTCCAAGCCATTTCATTAAAAGGCGCCTCTGTTAATTAGTTTTCCCTTTTTGATATATGATTCGATCTGTGTCCCATAGTCAGGATATCACAGGTTCAAGTATAAAAGGTTGCCCAATTTTTATTTTGTTTGTGGAGAATGGGTCATACTAAGCGTTTCTGTTCCTCACATTTGGAATTTGATGTGACTGCCAGTGACAAACTGTTTCGACCGGAGCTGTGAGCTGCCACTCATTGAAATTTGTAAGGCATTGGGGATCGGTGGCTAAGGTAGGATACTTTGCTTCCTCAGAAAATGCTAAATGGCAAATTTGCGGAGAGTAGTTACAAATCGTGCTTCCTTTCCTAAAAATAAGGAGTTACAAAAGAAAAAAAAAAGAACGTAGTGGAGTTACTAACAATGATAGTGGTTGGCAATTTTATAAGAAGGAAATAGTTCTTCTGAAAATCAGGAAGCTGGGTCGTTTTGGATGAAAAACACAAAAGAATAGATCACGGGGCCAATGAGATCTCTAGCCAGCCTATGAATGTTGATTGCTGTATTATTGTGACTTTTAACAAAGTCCCGGTGGGTCTTGGGTCCCAAGCCCACTGACTCCAATGAGTTGTTAAAGTTGGAACTGTTGTGGGTTGGGCAACCCACGAACAACTTAGGTTTGTAGTGACCTAATTTGTAAATATCAGCCCATGTTCATTGTTTTAATTGAAACCAAAGTTGATAGAAGTAGAATGGAAATAATATGGGACCAGTTAGGATTTGTAGGGAGTTTTATAGCGGATTCAACAGGGCTCAGTGGGGGTATTGCTTTATTATGGAAGGTTAGAGATTCAACTCAACTTATTTCTTATTCAAATTATCATATTGATGTGGCTATCAACACTTAGAATTGCTCTCCCTGGCGGTTGACTAGCTTTTGTGGTCGTCCTGAGCGGCATCTTCGGCACCTATCTTAGACACTTCTAAAGTCTCGCAAGTCCAAATCGGCACCACCCTGGTGTTGTATATGTAATTTTAATGACTTGCTCTACTCATCTGAGAAACAAGTAAACTATTTGATTTGGGCTTATATGGGTATTAGTTCACATGGGAGAAGAGTCGGGGAACACCTGATTAGATTTTATAGAAGCTAGATCGAGGCCTAGCAAATCGAAAATGGATGGAATTCTTCTCGAAAGCGAAGGTGCTCAATCTTACAGGATTCGCCTTTGACCATTCTCCAATTTTCTTGTAATTAAATGCTAGCCGCAGACCAAGAACTTGGAAGCGCTTCTGATTTAAAAATTTATGGATTCGACAGCCTGAGTGTAGAAGAATTATTCACGGTTCCTGGTCTTCATCCTCACTCTGCTCTACTTTTGAAAATAGCTAACTGTGCCTCGGCATTAGGGTGGGGGTTTTCTGCATGAAAAAAGAAAACAGATTGGAAAACTCCACTGGAAAATGAAGGACTTGAAACCGAGAAGAGACGAGAAGAGATGTTGCATCCGTGCTCAAACTTTACGTGATAAAGAAAGTAATACAAAATTTGTTTGGATGAGATGGAAGCTTATTGGAAACACAGATCAAAACATTTTATGCTAAAGGGTGAGGATCAGAATTCTTGTTTCTTCCATGCCAAGCATCAGCGAGGAGGAAAAAAATTTCAATTGCACGACTCAAGGATGATTCGGGGAACTAGAGGGATGCCGGTCCAGATTTGAATAAAATCATGGTAGATTATTTTATAGATTTATTTAAAAACTCAAGAGAGTGATGGAATACCGGTCAATAGTTGTGTGGAGCCTGTAGTTACTAAAGCACAAAACACCACATTGAGCCTTTTACCCAAGAAGAGGTTCGATCAATTGTCTTCTCCATGCATCCGGACAAGTCACCTGGTCCAGATGGTTTTAATCGTGCGTTCTTTCAACAATACTGGGGTATCATAGGACATGATGCTACTGCAGCTTGTTTAGCCTTCTTATGGGACGCGTCTAAGACCAATATCTCTATACAATGTCGTGTATAAGGTGGTATCGAAAATGTTGGCAAATCGAATAAAGCAAATATTACTAGGGGTCATTTCTCCTTCCTAAAGTGCTTTTGTACTAGGGAGACTAATATCAAATAATATAATGGTGGCTTATAATGTGGTGCATTATTTGAAGAGGAAGAGATAGAGTATATATCGTTTGGCAATTCTTGAAGTTGATATAAGCAAGGCGCACAACAGGATCGAATGGACTTGCTTTGGGAAATGCTATTAAAATTGAGGTTTTGCAGTCTTGGGTTCAATTAGTTATGATGTGTGTAACTACTGTTAGATATTCTTTTTTGCAGGAAGGCAATGAATTGGGACCCATTACTTTGGAGAGGGGTTTGCGGCAAGGGTGCCCCTTTCGCCGTACTTGTTTATAATTTGCGTTGAGGGATTAACAACACTGTTAAAGGATGGTGAGCAAAGAGGTCGGCTTTATGGATGGTAGTGTTGCAAGAGGTGCACCGTCGGTTACTCAACTATTCTTCACAGACGAAATTTTTCTCTTTTTCAGTGCTAACTAATCTAAAAGTGCCTATTTTAAGCCTTTGGGCAGGTCATGAATTTTCAAAAGTCTTTTATAGCCTTTAGCAATGGGTGTTGCCGTGAGAAATATGGTTGTTTCGGTGCTTGATGTGGGTGAAACTACAGATTTGGGATACTACCTATGCCTTCCTTCTATTGCAGGTAAAAACAAACAAGAAATTTTTTCTTTTCTAAAAGAAAAAGTATGGAAACAGATTCAAGGATGGAAGCATCAACCATTTTCAAAAGCTAGAAAGGAAATATTGCTTAAGTCTGAGCTTCAAGCTATTCGCACCTATGCGATGAGTATTTTTCGATTACCAAGATCGTCATGTGATGATATCGAAAGCTCATGGATGGTTTTTGGTGGGGTAATGGGTCTGACGAGAATGGAGGAATCAGATGAAAAAGAATGGTCCCGTATATGTTGTTATAAGGCTATTGGTGGGTTGAACTTCAAACGTGTTCATGAGTTCAATTTGGCTTTGTTATGTAAACAGCTGTGGCGATTTCTTGTGTATCTAGATGCTCTTGTTTCTCGAATCTATAGGGCCAAGTATTTTGCTTCCTCTTCTTTGTCTCAAGCTAAGACTGGAACTAATCCGAGCTATGTTTAAAGCAGTTTAATTGCTGCGATTCCTTTGCTCAAGTCAGGTTGTTCCAAACGAGTTGGAGATGGCACTTCCATTTCCATATGGTTGGATCCATGGCTTCCAGATACTACAAATCCTAAAGTGGTGACTAGAAAACCTGTTGATTATGCTTTTTTCATTGTCAATACATTATTCTTAGAGTCTGGCTCTTCTTGGCATGTGAATGAAGTCTGGGAGTTATTCGTAGAAGAGATTAGAGGTTAATCTTGCAAACTCCCCTCTCTTTTCGGCGTCACAGTGACAGGTGGTTTGGCATCTTGAGAAAAATGGGAAGTACTCGGTAAAGAGAGTGTATCACTCTCTGATAGCAGGTTTGGTCCCTCCATGTTTAGATGCTCTCAATAGAATGTGGGAGTTGCCATGTTCCTTGAGAATTCATCCAAAATTTTTCTATAAATGTCATTTTTTCATCTCAACTCTATTTTCCATTTGGATTAAACCGAAAACCTACTTCTCGAATCCTTGATTTTGATGACTAGTGACCTTTTATTAAATTGAGTCAAATAAAAGGTTTTTTTTAGTTTACCTTTAAAATGAAATTTAAGTGGCGAGTCTATAAATCCTTCCCTGAACCTAATTCAAATAAATATTTCAAAACCATTTTTAGCGTATTGGACTTGGCGCTTGGGTCAGGATCTCAAAATATATAATTTTTCTTTTATTTGATTGGATATAAATTTTTAAATAAATTCATATAGATAATTAAGGAAGCGTTTGTTATCATTGTGATTTCTGATTTTTTTTTTAAATTTTGATAAAAAATAAAATGAAATGTGTTTGTTTTAAAAGTGTTTAAATTTTACTTTTTAACTTTTTTTTTCAAAATCATTTAAAAAATAAAAAACTAATTTTGTGAAATAACAAATTGCGGTTTACGCGCTTTTTTATTGATACGCTTCATTCTTTTTTCTTTTTTACAAGTCTCTGAAAATATTGGATACACTTCTCTCTCTTCTCTAAATTTGTATCAGATTCAGATTTGTATTAAATTGGATAATTTAATCTATATTTGAATTTATTATCTTATCTAAAATTGTTCTTTTTGGTCTTTTCTTATATAATTTATTATTATTATTCATTGTAGAGCTATTATTATTTAGTTGTTTTTTTTTTCAATTTTTTTACTTTCGTTGGAACTCAGTTATAAACTATCATTACTGAGTTCATATTATTTTATCAAAATATAACATCTAAAAATATTAATTATTTAGTAATAAACTAAATATGAAAAAACCTAGAAAAAAAACACACAATAGTGACTAAAAAATATTGTGAACATATAGGAAAAACAAGCTCATAAAAAAAAACAGTTTTCAAAATTTAAAAATCAAAAATCAAAAACTGTTTTCTATTTTTTAAAAATAAAAAAAAAAATAAAAAGCAAAAAAGGTAACAAATGACCCTAAGTTTTTCAATATCTTTTTTAAATTTATTTTATTTAAATAAATATATGTGATAATAAGGTATTTGAAATTTTTTTAGATTTTCAAAATTTTCAAATTTAGTTTCTAAATAATTAATTTTATTATTTGATTGTGATTTAAAAAGATTTTATTTTAGGAGAGTGATAAAAAAGAAAAAATATTATATTATTTTAATATTTTTCTTTATATTTATAAAATTTGATTGGATACATTTTTAAAAATAAATTTTCAAATAGATACATATACTTGATTAGATTACCCCTTCCAAAATATTTAATTTTACTTTTTTAAATATATTTTTTAAATAAAAAATCTATAATTTATCTATACTATATATAAATGTGGTAATAAAAAGGGAATAATGAGATTTTCGATAATTTCCTTAATCAAATTTAGAATATGTTAAAATAACTTTAGTAATAGCTAATTAGAAAATTATATTTTATTACTTGATTGCATATAATTTTATTAAAATTATTTTTTAAATAAATATAAATAGATAATTAAGCATTTTACGCTTTATCTTTTTTAAATTTATTCTTTAAATAAAAATATATGATAATAAAAGATTTCAAATTTTTATATTTTATTTTTTAAATTTGATTGGATATCTTTTTAATAAATACAATTTTTCAAATATATACATATACTTGATTAGTGTTACTCCCTTCCAAAATAATATTTAATTTACTTTTTTAAATATATTTTTAAAAAAAAATTCTATAATTATCATACTTATATATAAATGTGGGTAATAATAATAGTGGTAAATATGGATGATTTTTCGTATAATTCCTTTTATCATAATTTAGAATATGTTTAAATATATACTTTAGTAATTAGCTAATTTAGAAAATTATATATTATTACTGATTGCATTATTAATTTTATTTAAATATTTTAAATTTATAAATAATATAGATAATTAAGCATTTATCGCTTTATCTTTTTTTAAATTTATTCTTTAAATAAAAAAATATGATAATTAAATAGATCTAAATTTTATTATTTTATTTTTATCAATATTTTGATTTATAATTTAGATTTATATTATTTAATAATGTTTTATTTAGGAGGAGAGATAAATTAAAGTTATGTTCTCTTTTATTAATATTTTCTCTTGTTTTTTATTTTAATGATTTTGACCATGGTATATATTTTTTTAAAAATAAAATTTCAAAAATATATACATTAATATCTTTATTTATGATGAGATGATACAATAAGCAAATCAATGGTATTATATTTTTTATAATTATTTTTTCTTTATGTTTGTACGATTTTATTAATATATTTTTTAAAATAATAAATTTTAAATATAATTATATTATTAATTAATACATTTCAAAATAATTTTAATTTTTTAAATTTTATTATATATTTATTTTTTAAATTAATATATGAATTATTATGTGTGTGCGGAGATTTCGCGATACAATTTAAAAATTTTTAAGATTTTAAAAATACACTTATTGGAATTTTATTGATATATTTTTATTTTATATTTATATATTTATTGAATTAAAACTATTATTTTAGGTATACCTCTTGAAAAGAGTTTTATCTTTATTATATTTATTATTTTTTATTTTTTGTTATTTTAAATAAAATGAATATATGTGTGTGCGAGATTTGCGAACAATTTAAAATTTTAATTTTAAAAATACATATGATATTTTATTGATATATTTATTTTATATTTATATATATTGAAACTATTTTTGTTAGGTAACCTCTGAAAAGAGTTTTATTCTTAATATTAATTTTTTATTTTTTGTTTTTGAAATATCCCATATTTTTATTTTCAAAACTTTTAAATTTTTATTAAAATAAAATTTAGATTTTTGATCACATGGGCTCCAAGTGCTAAACAATTTTATTTTAAGCCCGAGTTTGCAAAATTGAATTCAAACCCATAATCATATTATCGGAATTCTAAAGCGGAGAATCTTCTAAATTATTCAAGGATAAATATAAAATATTAAATTAATTATTACGGTTTAATTTAATAATTGAATAATAATCTAGAACCCAAAGAAATTAAATGAAATCGTGACCCAAATTTTTATTTTCAAAAGCTATTGAATTTAAAATTAAATAAAAGCCACATACTTATTGACTTGGCTTTTATTTTTTGAAAAGGAATAAGACTAATTTTATATGACCTTAAAAAATAATGATCAAACAAAAAGTCTGGGACTGAGTCCCAAATATGAAAGTGAGAATGATTAATAGAAGCTTGAGCAAGTAAACGAGCTTCCTTATTCTCATGTCTTTTAATCCACATGATCTTAATATCTTGCCTAGAAGCTAAAATAGATCTACAATCAGCATAAACTAGCAACTGGCAGTCTGAAAAAATATAGCCTTGGAGTGGAAGATTAGCTTGAGCAAAGATTAAGCATTGTCTAAGCACTAGAGCTTCGATAAGAGCTGGGTCCCTGTTCCTTCTTTGTAATCACAAATAGCCCAGGTGAAAGAGCCTTCAACATCTTCAAAAAGAGCTGGGTCCCATATTTTTTTTTTCAAAACTTTAATCAAAATTCAAATTTTTATTAAATCAAAATTCAAATTTTTATTAAGTCCGAGTTCGCAAAGTTGGGTTCAAGCCCATAATTATATTATCAGAATTCTAAAGCGGAGAATCTTCTAGATTATAAAGATAAATATTAACTATTAAACTAATTACTACAGTTTAATTATTATAATTTAATAATTGAAGAATAATCTAAAATCCAAAGAAATTAAATGAAATCGTGACCCAAATTTTTACTTTTAGAAGCTATTGAATTTAAAATTAAATAAGAAAGCCACATACTTATATTTTACATGATAAAATATTTTGTAGTCTGATTTGAAAATCTTGTTGACTTGACTTTTATTTAAACCAAGTAAAACAATTGACCTATGTGATAAATTTTTAAGCAAATCAATGTTGTTGGATGGTAAACTCTTATCACAACATCACATCACCGACCCACCTCTTCTCCTCGTCTTCTCATTACTTCTCCTCCACCAAAGGGACCCATTAATGGCCAGAAATCACAGGGACAACAGCCCCTCTGCACAGTTGCTCCTCCAAATCCTTTCATTGATGTTTTTCACGACTCTAGAGTTATAGTTTGAAGCTTTCTCACTCTACGATTGAAATGGCAATAATTGGTACATTGTGACAGTTCTTATTTCACTCAAGTAAGTGAGACTATATTATTTTTATGCTTCATCAGTTAGATTTTTAAAATAAAACGGTTAGATTGCATAATTCAATTTGAGAACCAAGGTTAGGTTTGTAGAACTTGATTCTTGGATTTTTGAAATATGATGAGTTTGGGTTTAAAATGAGTTTTAGAGACATAAATAGTATCATAAATGGGACTAGACTAAATTAGGGGGATGGTGTTATGGAAGCAAAGCAAAAACACTCTCCCATAGCTACATATGGTTCGACCATGGTGGTAAATAAAGAGCTGGAAAGTTCTTTCTATGAAATACATGACTTAGCATGTCAAGAACATTAAATAAAAATAGTTTTAGCTTGGT